TGCTTGTGTGGCCAGTTTCTCCTCCCTCGCCCGGGACCGCGTCTGGCGGCGAGTGCGAGGACCCGTAGCGGCTACGGTTGCTGCTCTTCTGGATTTGACTCGGATACCATACGGTGGGGGTGTTCGTTAAGGAATGTGCCTAGGAGGCTTCAGACCCTGCGGGATTCCTTATCCAATGAGGGCGGTGGTGATACACATGGCCACTCCACGATTGGAGTTCCGCGGACTTCCAGACCCTGGATTCCTTATCCAGTGGTTCCTTATCCAATGCCTTCACCGGATACGCCGCACAGGTGGATACTTCCAGGTTTCGGGGGATTCACCATCGAGCGAGTCGCCTTTCCCTTTTTTCTCTGGCAGAGCTTGCAGCAGACCTGCCAGGCCATCATCAGTGCTCAGTCCGAGAAACACCAGTTCGGTGCTGGTATAGGAGAAAAGGTTGATTTCACCTCGGTGAGCTCCCTGTTGAGGAAGCTGGCCCACAGTTTCGATTTTGAGGGCGAAGGGGTTCTTCGGAACCTGGTATAGGGGGGGGGGGTTGGACTGAGGATCGCTGGGTTTCCGACGGGTATTCTAGTGTGTCTAGCGGCCTCTGCAGGAGGCTCGGGCGTGCGCCCGAGACTCCCTGCCACAGGCTCTGGGGATGTCACTGTAGTGAGCGGTTTCCATCGGCGGCTGTGGAGCGTGCTCAGAAGCTGTGCCCGCAAGCCCCTCAAGAATTTGAATCCTGCCCTTCGCTGTGGTGTCGCGGCCTTATGCCTAAAGACGGATCAGTGGGACATCTCTCGCCTCCGATCGTGATGATGCAGAGCTCTGGAGCTCTCGATGGGCCCCGGGTCGTGCCTGGTGGGGTCTGGGGCGTAGGCGGTTCGGGGGGCTCTTGCTCAGGGCTGGAGACTAAGGCGGCGCGGGTGGGCGATGTGTCGGCTCGCTCCGTCCTTGGGTGACGTCGACGGTGTGTTCTGCGGCACGTTGCCAGGAGATGTTCAGAATTCCCCTCGTGCTGGGCTTACTGCGTTCCTTTGGCTGCTGCGACGGAGTGTTGGAGGGATTTGGGTGTGTTCTCATTCTTCCAAGTCAGTTCGAGATGTTCGGAAGCCGCGGTCCTTCCTAGAGAACTCTGCTATGATGGATTTATGGATTTTGATTTGGACGGAGGTTGGCACAAAGAGGACATATCTTTGCGATGGGCGAGATCTCATCCCACGACTCACCAGATCGAGGCCTTGGGCCTGACACGGGTCGAGAGGCAATTGAGCGCAGCTTCTGGCGCATGTGCTGGTGAAGCCGCGGGTCGGGGTGCCCTTTCCCAGAGCAGGTCAGCGTCATCCATGCCAGTGGCACCCTCCATTGAGACATTATGTGGCGCACGCTTGCCGTGCAGCGAGAGGCGTTTATGACTTGTCAGCGTGAGTTTGTGCGCGCTGGTCATGAGACTGTGCGTGCCCCATGGCCTGGGGCGTCCTTGGATACGCGTCTGAAGCGTGTGCTGGCAGGGGGTCGCGGTCCCCTTGTCAAACTGTGCTTATCAAGTGTGGTAGCAGTTCTGTGAACTATCCGCGGCGAGATCTGCTGTCCATGTTTCTGCCGTCGCCTTGCAAGACATCCGCATTCTGCTACTTGAGTGGGCCTGCCGGGGAGGGTCCGATCCAGTCGGGCGTGCGGGGTGGAGGCGGGGACGTGCCGTTTGGCGCCGCATCTGAACATTTTCTGGCTACTGTTCGCACCTGCTGGCCGCTCTTGATAGTGTTTTGTTTTTTTTCGCGGTGTGGGTATTTCGGGGCCACCAGTGCTCGAAACTCAAAGATGAAAGGCCCGCCCACCTGTGATCCCCCTGAGGTTGTATCTGGCCATGGAGCGCTCAGTAGACTCAGGAGGCGGGGTGCTCCCAAAGTCGGGAATGAATACCCCCCGTGATTGATTTCGGCATTGCGGCCAGGCTTGCACTGGGGTCCTGCTTCATGTTTCCCTCCCCCTCCTCTTCTTCCTCGTCCTCGCTCCTCCTCCTCCTCCTCCTCCTCCTCCTCCTCCTCTCCCTCTTTCTCCTTCTCCTTCTCCTCCTCCTCCTCCTCCTCCTCCTCGTCCTCTTCCTGCGACTTTTCCTCCTTCCCCAGGGAGAGCTCCACCGATGCTGCAGCGTACGGAATCGCTTTTTCGCCCTGTCCCATGTCGCTGCGCCTCTGGACGATCGTCCCCCTGGCCGGATGTTCCCCCGCTCTCTCCCCCGACACCCCCCACCCCACGGCCAAAAGGTGGCTCTTGGCGGGAGACTTGTAGGCTGGAGGAGGGATCTGACCTGCCTGTGACCTCAAAAGAGGTCGGCAGATTTCCGTGGTCGGCCTGGAGGAGAAGAAGCTCAGCGAGCTCTGCGACAAGGCATTGCGGTCGAAGTCTGCCAGGGAGCGTGCGCCTACCTCCTCCCTTCCTTTCGCCTCCTCCTTCCCCTCCCCCCCTCCTTACTCCTCCCCGGCCTCCTCGCCCTCCCCATCCCTCTTCCTCCTCATTCTCCTCCTCAGCGGGAGACACCGTCCGTGTCCAAGGGTTGCGGGCAGAATCGAGAGACAAACCATCAGGGGAACACATTTAGTTGCCCAGGGGCGTGTGGCGGCCTTTCTGGTCTAGTTCCCAGGCTGTTAACAGGGACTTCGTCCCATGCGGCCACAGTGACCTTTCACGGGACCTCGGTGGCGCTGGATTGACATCACATTTGCAAGTGAAGTTGAGTGTACGCTATATTCGACAAGCGATCCAGCTCCCCTTTCACGCGTGATCAGAACGTGTGGTAGAACGTTCTCGCCGCCCACACCGAATAGGAACGTAGACTTTCACAATGACGATGTGGACATTTTCCAATCCGTGACGATAAGCTACGGGTTTGAGGTCGTCCGCAGGAACGCTCATAATGATGCCCTCTTCTCAGTGTTGGACCCACCGAATCCGTTCTCCGGAGGGGAGTAGGCGGGCATCGCCAACATATTCCTCGCCTTGATGTGTCAAATCCTGGGCACCAACCCCTGTCACGTGTCCTAGAAACGTTCAGCCTTCATCAAGGCGTGCTCTCGCTCTCGCGTGGTGGTGGCCAAGGGAGACCTCGTGTGTACCCACTCCCCCGCTTGGTACCCAGGGTGGATCTCCCCGAGCCCGTAGCCGCCGTGGCCGCCATCATCCAGCCATCGATGTCCAGGCTGGCACGGTTCTGCGGGAGGCGAGACGCATTGACGTGGACCCTCGTGCTCCAGTACGTACTTGTGAATGCGTGGCCCCCACTCTGTATTTGCTGATTTGTAGAAACGCTGTGTGGCGACGATTTCTGATGACCGGCCGCTGTCCTGGCAAACCTGATGAGCGAAGGATTGCGTCCCGGACCTGAATCCGCGGCTACCCTGGCAGAAAACTGTGGCGACTCTTGATCCTGACCATTTCGAGCCGCCAGGGGGCTCGAGGCGCACACTGGTGGATCCTGTCCACCGTTGGTGGCCGACGAACTCGTCCCCAGATTTGAATCCGCCGCTATCCCGGCAAAGCCGTGTGGCAACATTCGACCCTGACCAGGTCGAGCCGCCAGGGGGGCTCCAGGGCGCGCCCCGCCCGCTCCCGTCCACAACGCTGAGCACGCTGCTCGCGAGAGGGGACACGGCTGTAGGGGCCATCGCTGCCAGCAGGCCTTTGAGCGGTCGTCGCCCTCACCCGGGCGGCCAGCGCCTGCCAGTGACAGAAGGGGAGGAGACGCGGGGCAGAACCGTGTAACAGTTGTGGGGCCTTCGACAGGGCGGCCCGCAGAATTCTGGCTCAGGCCCACCACCGCCGCGGCGCCGAGCTCCGCGAACAGGTCGCGGTCGTCGTCCACGGTGCCGAACGCGCCCTTGGCCGTGGCGCCACTGCCTCGGCCGCGTGAGGGTGCCCCTGCCAGCTAAGCCGCAGGTTCAGGGCCCCAAAATGTGCACCACCACCACCACCTCCCTCACCCCCTCCCCCCTCCCGCCAGGAAAGAGGACGGGGAAGAGGAGGGCGGAGGAGGGAGGGAGCACGGAGGTGGTGGTGGTGGACACTCTGGGGGCCCGCACGTGGCGCCGCTGCCTTGGCCACGGGGTGCCCCTGCCGCCTCAGCCGCAGGGGCGCCCTGCCCTGCCCCGGGGCCGCAGCCGGCGCTGACCCCCGGCGGCCGCCCGCTCGAGCTCGGCCCTCGGCCGCCTCGGCCTCGGACGCGCGCTCGGCCTGCTCGGGGGCGGCGTCCTGCCCGCCGCTGGATGGGTCTTGGTCTTCGGGACGGGGGCGCCTGCCACTTGTTTGGTTTCTTAAGCATCTGCTGCGTCATGTCCTTGGACTTTGCCCATTGCTACAAGGGAGTCGTCGAGTGAAAACTCGGAATCGTAAGCATGGCCGCCTGTGCCCCTGGCGCCAACCTCGCCTGTCGGTTTCTCGTAGGGATCTTGTTCTTGTCCACGGACCCTGCATGCACCTCCATTTCTTGCGGAGACGCCGGTTCCAATCCTATTGCGCACATGGCTCGCACTACGGCGTGGTGCACAAAGTCCGGGCTTGAGGACGTGGGCCCATGACCGGCGGGCCGCGCTCAGCTTGCCACGAACGGGGTTGTGCAGAGAGCGAGGGGCCTGTACTGCCAAGCTGTCGGCAGGGTCGCGATAACCCGAAAAGTTTGCTGGCCGCGGATCAGTGGTGTCCGATCTGTCTCGGGGCTGAAGGGCCTCCCAGGAAAACATCGTGATCCCAAGCGGCTGCGGAGGCGGAGGAAGAGGTAGAGGAGGAGAAAGAAGAGATCGAGGAGGGGTCGGAGTGCTCCCAGGCCCTGCTTCCCTCCTTGGTTTTTCAGCTCCCCTCTGCTTAGCTTGCGCACCCCCTTCACACCCCTCCTACCACCGTGGAAGGCGGCCAAGAGCGAGGGGTCTGGCGGGGTGTGCAAGATCGCGAACCACCTGTTTCCGAAGGGCTTCTCCTGCGCAGGCACCGAGAAGGCGGTGCAGGAGCTGGAGAAGCTGGCCATGGCAGGGGGTGCGCTGCAGGCCAAGGTCCTGAAGACGGGCGGCGCCTTCCACACCTCGCTGATGAAGCCAGCGGAGGACGATACATACCCTCTCTCTCTCTTCCTCATTCTGGGCCATTTTTGTTGGCGGTCCTGGGGCCCGTGGGGTGGGCCCAGGGGCCCGTTTCGCCCCGTTCGTCCAGGACCCATTCCTTCTTGCGGACTTCTCCCCTCTGCGCCTTCCCTTCTTCCGCCCAGCTCGCCCTGCCTCATCCCTCCCATCGTCCCTCCCTCGTCCTGCCTCATCCCCTCGTCCTGCCTCGTCCTGTTTCCTTCATGTTGACCTCCCTCCTCGTCCTGCCCCATCCCTGTGCCTGTGGCTCTTCCCTCCCTCGGCCTCCCGCCCCGCGCCCCTTGCCATCGCCCGCTCTTCCTCCCACTTGTGCTGCCTCCTCCCACTGACTCGGAGGAAGGGGGAGGAGGAGGGAGGAGCAGCGATGAGGATGAGGATGAGGATGGGGATGAGGATGAGGATGATGATGATGAGGAGGAGGAGGAGGAGGAGGAGGAGGAGGAGGATGAGGGGGAGAAGGAGGAGGAGGAGGGAGGATGAGCGAGGATGAGGAGGAGGGAGGAGGACCTAAGAAAGACGACGACGAAGGAGGAGGGGAGGAATGATGACGCGATGCTGGTGCTGCTGATGATGATGATGATGATGATGATGATGATGATGATGCTGATTCTGAGTCTGACCATGATGCACATGATGGCGGATGGGGATTGGGATGGGGATGATGATAATGATGATGATGATGATGATGCTGATGATGATGATGATGATGATTATGATGATGATGATGATGCTGAGGCTGCTGATTAGGCTGATGATGATATGTGCCGATTATTGTGATAATGACGATGGTGATGATGCTGCTGATGATGATGATGACAATGATGATGCTGCTGATGATGATGATGATGATGAAACTGATGATGATTAGGATGGTGATGATGATGACGACCATGCTAATGATGATGATGATGCTGATGTTATGACGATGATGATGCTGCTGCTGATGATGACAAGGGTGATAGCCATGTTGCCGCTGACGGTAATGATAGTGAATAACCGTATAATGATGCTGATGATGCTGCTGATGCTGATGATGACGATGATGCTGATGATGCTGATGATGCTGATGATGATGATGATGATGATGATGATGATGATGATCATCATGCTGATTCGTGATGCTGACGCAGTGTAGATGAGTTGATGCCGCTCATGCTGATGACGACGATGATGCTGCTGGTGATGATGATGCTGATGATGTTGATGCTGCTGCTGATGATGATGCCGCTGCTGCTGATGATGATGATGCTGATTCTAATGATGATTTTTATTATTGTTCTTAGTAAACACATTACATAGCATTATGATTATCATTCGTATCATGCGGATGATGATGGCACTGATGGTACTTATGATGCTGCTGATGTTGCTGACGCTCTGCTGATGATGCTGATGCTGATGGCGATGCTACGGATGATTGACGTCGACCATCATGCTGATGTAGTTGAATCTGATGATACTGATGATGATGCTGATGATGATGCTGCTGATGGTGATGATGATGACGGTGCTGGTGTTGCTGCTGATGATGGCGATGCTGATCATGCTGATGATGGCGATGATGCTGATGATGACGATGATGATCATGGTGATGACGACGATGATGATTATGATGATGATGATGATGATGATGATGATGATGATGATGATGCTGATGACGACTATGATGATTGACGCTGGTTGTGCAAATGATACAGGCGATGCTTGCGATGACGTGGCCAATGGCGAATACGATGTTGATGCTGCTGGTGATGGTAATTACGTGTGATGATGGTGGCACGGGTGATGACGATACCCACGATGCTGGCCACGATGCTGATGTTGCTGACGTGTACGATGATGCTGCTGCTGTAGCTGCTGCTGTTGATGCTGCTGATGCTGATGATGATGCTTATGATGTTGATGATGATGATGATGATGATGATGATGATGATGATGATGACGATGCTGATGGTGATGTTGGTACTGCTGCTGATGATGCGGACGACGATGATGATGCTGACGATGATGACGACGATGATGATGGCTATGCGGGTGACCGTGATGATGATGATGATGATGATGATGATGATGATGATGATGATGATGATGATGCTGGTCTGATGATGATGATGATGATGATAACGGTGCAGATGCTGATGATGATGGTGATGCGGATGATGATGACGATGATGATGCTGGTGATGATGATGCTGCTGATGATGCTGCTGATGATGCTGATGAGGATGATGATGTTGATGCTGATGCTGATGATGCTGCTGCTGATGATAATGACGCTGCTGCTGTTGAAGAAGGACGGGTGGAGCAGGGTGAGGAGGAGGAGGAGGAGGAGGAGGAGGAGGAGGAGGAGGAGGAGTATGAGGAGGAGGAGCTATGGCGCTTTGGCGAACGGGCGATTCCCAGGTGTTGGCCTGGCCATCTCACCACGGACAATTCATTCCCGACTTTGGCGGGAGCCTGCGTTCGAGACGATTCAATGCCTCGAGCCCTTTATGGGTGGGCTGCTGACAGGGTTTCCTGAGCCTCCTTATGCTGCTCACAGCAAAGCGCCCGCAGCTCGAGCAAAAGCAGCACGCCATGGAGAATCGACTTTGTATGGATCTCATGACATTGCGTGGCCAGTGGATGGGTCGACCGGTCATTTTCGTCGGCCCCAGGTCCTTCGGCGACAAGCCGCTGGCCGCACAAGGGCCAGGCCAGCACGAGGAGAACACATCCAGCATCGGGAAACATGCAGAACAGACACTACACTTCATTAATGTACGCAGCTGGATTTGGGAGTGCCCTGCCGCCATGCTACGCTCAAGACGAGTCTGGGCACTGGTGCGCGCAGTGCGTTTGGGCACATGCTCATGCCCAACCCTCTCCCGTGTACGCTCACGGTGACAGGTGACAAAGACGTCACGATGGATACAAAGTAGCCTCCTGAAAACATCGGTGCCCACTTTGTTATGTTGGTGTGTGATGGCGTCTAATTCGGGAGGGGCAGCAGCTCTCTTTGCCGCTTCCCCAGCACAGGCGTCAGCAGCTCCGTTCAATAGTTATTCTGTAGCAGTTGAATGAAGGGCGCTGGCTTGGGCTCTCGTTGGGTGGTTTTTGGTCAACCTGAGGTTCACCTCACCTCCTCTACCTTCCAAGACATCCCAAAGTCTAACCCACAGATCCAGCATGTCGGACTTCATAAGGGCCTTTCGGGGCTTTCCGATTTTTTGTTTTAGCACATGCCAGTCTACAACAAGTACACGTCCAGTGGTGTACTGCAGGTTCGTGGGAAGACTGCTCGGTTCCACCAAGCGTGCCCACGAAATCACCGTCGATATCATCCACAGTCCTGCACAGTCGGACGCATGCCCAACCACAACAACTTAGCCGTGCGTCCTTAGCTTGCCCTCCCGATCCGTCGATTTCCCATACTTCTCCCTCGTGGATCGCGCGATCTTCGTAGGATCTTCAGAACCAGATCGATTGAGAGGCATGGGGCCGCGACACCATAGGGCAGGTCACTCGGCTTCGCGTGCAGCTCGGGGTGCAAGGTGGGCAGTACGCCCGACTGCAGGATCAGAAATATTGGCATTGGCGCTACCCCCCCAGAGGCGGTGATAGAGGGACTTTTCACGCTCTCCACACTGTGGGCGCTCGCTGTTAGCAGCAGTTTGGTACCCCTGATCCTGAAGCCTCTGGTCAGTCCAAAAGCGTTCAGAAACCATATTTCTCAAAATCCCCTGCCGCTGACTAACGTGGCCTTCCCCCATCCTAGAACGCTCGCCCTGCACGCAAGTGAGATCGGCCCCATTTTGAACACCCATGTACTGGTAATTCATTTGCAGCTTGGCTCCAGATGCGCTTGCTGCGGGTATCCCTCACCGCCCGCAGGAGGCGAACTGAAAGTTCTCAATCATCAGGGCAAAGGTGCTGGCCATCTCCAGTGTACCAGCTACCTGGGGAGAGGCTAACACTCCATCTCGAGCAGCACGACAACAGTGGGAGACTGGGCCTCGAGCCCTGCGCCACGCTCTGTTCTTGGGATGCTAGTGAACTCCTTATCTTTGTCAGCCCACAACCTGGTAACACGCATCTTTCCTTTGTCGTCCAAACCTTTTCCAAACCTGGACAACACCAAGGAGTTGCCCACGCCGCAAACGGAACATGGGGCCATGGGACTCCGATCCAAAACATGCCAAGGGTGGTGGTGGTGCACGCGCTAGCGTGCCACAAACCATAACTTGACACGTGACACTCCGGACGTGGGGGCCCGACATACCGGCGGCATTGTGGCCCCAGGTCCTGACAGCTAAGACCCCTGGCTTATACAAAGTATATGTTTTCTTGACAATGCGCGTCATGGTTAGCAAGCGCTTCTGATGGATGGGCGTAGTGCACCTCTTGCTGGCAGTGGTGGAGGTGCCAATGTCCCTGGTCTCGCTGCTCATCTTGATACTCAAACCTGCAGCTCGCAAATCATTCAGCACCTGCAACGTAACAAACTTCGGATTGCGGACCAGAGCAGACTTCTGGGAAAGAGCACGCTCGGCATTCTGTATCGCATGAGCAAGGGTCCACACATGCCGCGACAACAGCCCTGCGCACAAATTCGAAGGAACCACAGGCCACCTGGGCGATGTCGTCAACATGCGCAAGAGACAGGACCCCTGGTACATATTGGGAATACCAGTAAGCACCTGTTACAAGTTTATCTTAACCCACGGCGTACTGTGTATACATCCTGGCAGTAATTCAATACCAGGCTCAATACTATCATAACAGAAACCCTCAGATTCAACCATGCGTGGCGCAGCATGTACCATGAGCCGCAGATAAAGGGGGTGAGTCGGGACATTCAATCGCAGGCCAGCTGGATCACCCTGGCAGGTACAACATTGTCAAAGAACGTAGTGAGGTCCCAGTGGGCCGCGATGCTGGCCTGTCCCTCGTAGCTGGCCAGCTTGTGGTGCAACTCT